GCTATGGCCTGCGCCCGCTCAGATTTTGACCTCTGGCTAGACTGGTCCGCGGCCGAACTGTTCGTCGCAGAGCGTGTACATTGTCTAGCAGAGCGTGAGGCCGGATACCAGTCTATTACAATAACGTGGCTTGTTGCAGCCGCAGTAGACGGATAAACCGTGCGCCCGTGTATGCCCGCGGTAGAATGCTGCACGTGCGTACGTGTGCCCTCGCTCCGCGAATTGCTCGCTCTCTTTTGAATAAGATTAGCACGTAAGAAACAATTATTTTGATCACATAGACACTTTGAAATTTTAGTGGCCCGTTCGGGCCACCAAATTTTAACTTTTGGAAATTTTGGTGGCCCGACATCAAGTTTTGGTGGCCCCGGGCCACGGGGCCACTGCTAGTGTCGAGCCTTGGCTTAAGTTATTGTTTCGTTACTCTGTAGAACCACGTTATCTTTTCGTTTGGATGCAAATAAATGTTTTTTTATATAAAAATACCACTGTGCAGTTGTTTGTTTCTTTTTTCAGTCTCAAAATAAGAAAGTACACGGTTAATTTGTCACAGTCTCACAGAGATGTGTGCCTGTGAGTCTGTGACATCACATCACATCTGTCAGCATAGTTTATCATCGACTATCATTCATAGTTTCAACAGACAATGTATGAATGCAATTGTAACCACATCATTGCAGATTAATACAAGGCAAGAGCTGTATTCAGCTGGTATTATTGTCAAGTTAAATTTAAATATGAATGAAAGTGTCAACAGTTTCTAGTTCTACACTCTACTCTGTAGTATAACTTTTATTATCAATTGTATTTTATTATGCGTCAGCGGGTTGATCTAGCCAGCGCCAGCTGCAGCGGATACATAAGCTGGGTTTACACTGACGATTTTGAATTGCCGAATTGTACGAACTTGGCAGTTTCGCAACTGACAATCGCCAGTGTAAACGCAAAAGTCGCACGTTCAACCGATCGATAGCAGCGAGTCGGAAGATTAGAACGTTCTAATTTCCCCAACTGCATATAATCGTCAGTGTAAACCCAGCTTAAGCCGCCGCTGCAGGGTGATACTCCATTGGGAGTGTTCCCAACTTTAATGTCATTATTGTTAATGGTCATAATAACATATATATATATATATGGTCATGGTCATATATTAGTTTGTGGTTTAATGTCATTTAGGTTAGGGTTAGGATTATCAATCATTAATCATTGATGATATCAAAGTTGGGAACACTCCTAATGGAGCGTTAGCCCTGCTGCATGCACGGTGTATATGTAGCGCTCGCTGTACGTACGTACTTGTGTACATTTCAATTTATCAGGCCACGGGAGCGATTTTCTCTTGGACGATCGCTCCCGTTATTGTTCTTACCAGAGCGAAATCGCTCGTCTCTCCCGTGTATTTTTTCCCCTGATTGCACGTATGTGCGTTAGTACTGACTGACTTCTCTGTTCATTTGACATTTTGACTGATTCTTGGAGAGGTAATATAGTAGATTAGCTGGCTCAGCAACACACGAGGTACGCTGTGCCCACACATAACACCCAACCTACCCTCTGGCAACTTCGACTCCGCTTCCTATCCTGAGGCTTTCATGAACAACAGTCAATATACGCAGCAAGCAAGAGCAGAATAAACAGATGAACAGATTCATCAAGGAGAGTGTTATACGGAAAGGGGAGCTGATGAAATGCAAGCAGGAGGAAACGCACGTACACACACACCATACAAATAGACATACAGCAGTGTACAGTACACCATACAAATACATATACACACACGTATGCACGCACGCACACACGCACGCACGCACGCACGCACGCACGCACGCACGCACGCACGGATACACAGAGAGGCACCATAGAAAGACTATAAGCAAAATATAAGATGAGAAGCGTGGGGTTAGAAAAATGTCACCTTTTTCTACACAACACAGAACAAGAGAACAAGAGAACACAGAACAAGAGATAAATGAATGTTAACAGAAAATATGGGCACACAGATTATTGTGCAAGATGGAGAAAGTAGGGCTATGCCACCAGCTGCTAGTGTCATTATCCAGGCTTCTTCTTTTTATTCAAAAACTGCACTGAAATACACGCACCTTTCCTTTGCCAGGCTTGGGTTTCCCCTTGGTAGAAGGCTTGCTATCTGCAGCAGCATCATCATCTTCATCCCATATAACCTTCTGTAAAACGGAAACGCATTGATGATCTACCTTGTGCACCGGTAACACTGCACACGACCTATGCTGTGCATATGTAAGACCAAACCTACCCTGCACACACATAGTGGCCGAGCTACACTGTGCACACTGTTACATGTGCTCAGGTTAGGTTTGGTCTTACATATTGACAGCAGAGGTCCTGTGCAGTGTTACCGGTGCACGAGGTAGATCATCTGTTACATGTGCTCAGGTTAGGTTTGGTGTTGTGAGCTCAGGGTAGGGTGGGGCGTTTTTGTGTGCACAGTATAGATTGACTGTGATGTGTGCACGGGGTAGGGTGAATTTGACGTAATTCTTTGTTTTATGTCATTCTATAACATCATCTGGTAAATTTTCTACTATGGTGTACTTTCTCCTTATATGAAACAAAAATTGTGTGTATACATTGGAATACTGTAGATATGAAAAATCTGTGTTACCTACATATGAAAATAAAGTCACATAGCGTTTATACATTTATAATACCTAAGCCATTGAGTTTCACATTGGTTACTAATTTCTTTGCTATGCTGTTTCTTGTCTCTACACAAAGTTGCATCTGTGACAGTGTTTTTGTTGCCTTCAGGCGCCACCCTCGGCAAAGAGTAAGAAGCCAGCCGACGAAGAGTTTGGCCCTACGCTCGTTAACAACGACTCGAAACGGCAGCGTCTTAGAGATGAGGAGAAGCTGAAGGTAATTCGGTTGTCACGTGGTTAGCGTCGCGTCGGAACACGTCTGCTGCGTGTTGCTATAGCAACGTGTATGCCGCTTTGTATGTATTGGCAAGTAGAAGTCGCGGCTTTGTATCTATTGGCAAGTACAAGTCACAGCTTTATATTCATTGGCAAGTACATGCCGTTGCTTTGTATTTATTGGCAAGTATGTCATGTACCACCGTTTTGTATTCATTGGCAAGTATGTACCACCGTTTTGTATTTATTGGCAAGTATATACCACTGCTTTGTATTTATTGGCAAGTACGTATCACTGCTTTGTATTTATTGGCAAGTATGCACCGCCACCTTTAATTTTTTGGCAAGTACGCGCCACCGCTTGATATTTTTTGGCAAGTACTTTTGCGTTACATTAAGGCGTCCGTTTTGCGTTCGTGTCTTCAGGTGCTGAAGTGGAACTTCACTCAGCCGCGGCAGGAGTTCGTCGATCAGCTGAAGGAACAGATGCAGAACAACGTCAGCACGCCGCTGCTCACACAGATGTTCCACGCCGACTTCAAGCACCACATCAAGGCCATCGACGCGCTCTGCGAGGTAAGCGGCGCCACTTGGCGGCGATCCCGGGCGATCTACGTCGTCGGGGATTTTGCGCGAGACGAGTTGTTGCGATTCGAATAGGTTACTGTAGAGAACGTTGTTTATAATAGCGGTGTGTTTATTTGATTTTGCAAAAAAAGGGGGGTTATCTTGAAAAATTGCCGATGCGGGACCCCGTGTTCGTAATGGTTTGGAAATTTCTATGACACGTTCCTTAACGATCCTGCATGAATGCCAGGGAATGTGGAAAAAATGTAAAATAGATGTTAAAATGTACAAATGAGGAGTTGAAAGAGTAAAAACGCCAAGAGGAATATTCGTCGATTCTAGTTTCGCTTGCGGCGTAATAACCACTTTCGTGAATTTCTACGGCACTCTTCTCGCGGGCCTGCAACACTTATTTATCACAGAGCTTATTACATGGAAAAACGAACGTGGGGAGGGGGGCTCGCCAATTTTCAAAAAAGGTGATGTTGATGCACAGCATGGCTTCGCGCTTCTTCTTCGCAGGCGATCACGACATCGGAGGATGCGACGGTCGCGCAGCTCGACCTCGTGCTGAAGTGGCTGACTCTGCGCTTTTTCGACACGAACCCGAGCGTTCTGCTGCGCGGTCTTGACTACCTCGGCAGCCTGTTCACGGCACTGTCGCAGCGTGGCTACAACTTGCCCGACGCCGAGGCCAGCTCCTTCATACCTTACCTCGTGATGAAGGTACTGTGTGCTTCATACTACATACTCTGTCTTGTGCTGAAGGTAATGTGTACTTCATGCACTATATTGTGATACTGTATCTCGTGCTGGAGGTACCAAGCGCTTCTTGCCCTCTTTCGTGCTGGAGATATCATATTGTGTGCTTCATACTCTATCTCGTGGTCGAGGTACTGTGTGCTTCCTTCCGACCCACCCTATCTATTCTATGCATGCAGCGCAAGCTTTACAGATATGAGGGTCATATATTGCAGGTTCTAATGGGCGAGCCTCACGTGCAGCGCTTTGCTACGCATACATAAGTTGTTTGCTGTCAACAGGCCGGCGATCCCAAAGATCCGGTGAGGAAGGTAGTGAAGAACATTTTGCGTCTGGTCTACAAGGTCTACCCTGCCAGTAAGATGTTCACCTACATCATAGACGGACTGAAGTCAAAGAATGCGCGTCAGCGAACAGGTAATACACACGACAATACATAAGACATAATACATAATATATAATACAATATAAATACAATACACTACAATATAACACAAGACAATGGGGTCTGACATGCTGCTGCTCCAGCAAACATCAGGTGCCCGTTGTCAGAAACAAAATTGGTCTTAACATTAGTCTCAACATTAACTTTTTCTCTTAGACCGTTGACAGAAACGCTGCCAAGTTACGAGAATGA